CTCGTGAGTGAAAGGAGTTTATAGTTTTGTGATTTTTGTCAGATTCTGAGACTTGGGGTCGGGTTTGGGTGAATTTAGGGATTTTGGTTTAAAATTGATAATTTTTTGTATGAAATTGGTTCATTGGCCTATATGATTGCATTGTAATGCTTTTGGTCAAACTCGGGATGTTTGGAGGGCGATTCCAGAGGCAAGGGCGTCACGGAGTAGAGATTTGACCGGTTCGAGGTAAGTAATGATTGTAAATCTTGTCCTGAGGGTATGAAACCCCGGATTGCACATCGTTTCACTATTTTGAGGTCACGCACATGTTATATGACGAGCATGTGGGCGTGCACCGTTGGGGATTGTGACATGCTCCACATAGCAACTATTAAGTGATATGATGTTTTGCCCGAGGGGCTGTTCTTGATTCATGTTGTGCCCGAGGGGCTGTGAGTGACTGTGAGGCTTGCCCGAGGGGATGATTCTGAGTGATGTTATGCCCGAGGGGCGGTTTATGATTCATGTTGCCCAAGGGGGCGTATACGAACTATGTTTTGCCTGAGGGGTTGTTTATGGTTTTCATCACTTTTACTCTAAATTTCATTGAGCCTCTGTTGAAATTGTTAAAAAGCATCTTCAAATGATTTTTTTACCGAAAACTGGATTTTAAACAAGATGATTTGACTCATATACTGATTTGAAAGAATGTTGTAGTTACTGAGTTTTCATAATGTGGATTTTTATGTGTTTCCTACTGCTCAGTCTTTATTTACCTTTATTACTTACTGAGTTGGCGTACTCACATTACTACTTGCACCTTGTGTGCAGATCCAGGGGTTGCTGAACGTGCTAGCGAGCGTTGATTTTCATCCACCGCAGATATTTTAAAGTTGGCAAGGTAGCTGCATGTCGATCGCAGCCTTGATCTTCTCCCTCATATCTTCCTATAGATATTATTAGCTGATTTCTAGACTATTTTAGTCTTGTTATATTTCGGAACAGTTGAAGTATTTGCTCATGACTTAGTGACACCCGAGGTCGGGTTTTTATTTCCGCATTTTGGTTTTGAATTTATCTCTTTTATGGAACTTTCAGTATGAAAAAGGTTATTATCTAAATTTTAATAAAATGTCAAATTATTTTGGGAATGTGTCGGCTGGCCTAGTTCCATGATAGGCGCCATCACACCGGGTTGGTTTTAGGGTCGTGACAGATGTAAATATGGACATGTATGTTTGTTTTCTTGTGTTTTGTTGACTTTTCTCGATGATGGATTTCCTCGACTGTCTTCTTGAGGGATCAAAGTTGAAAAATTATATATTTTGTTTTTCTTAGGTAGTGTAACAATTCCCCTTTGATTTTTCTTTGTGTCGCGGTTCTTTTTCAAGGGTTTTATTTGAACCGAGTGTAGTTAAATTTTTTTTATTTGGAATAGTGAAGTCTTGTGATATGATATTAAATGGAGATGACTTTTCTTGACTTTGTTGTGCCTTGAGAGCTGTAAGCGCCTTAGTTGTGATGCCTAGATTCAGTTCTTGACTCATGTATAAGTTCCTTAAACTATTTGATTTTGACTTTACTCAACTGCGTTGACTAGAGTGTTAGGATAGATCCGATCCTAATTGAGTTATACACCAATGTGTATGTGTGTGTGACTTTTGTGATATTTTGTGCATGTCAGTTGATGTCTAGTACTTACCTCATGTGTTTGCAAAGTGAAATAGCAGTCGTGTTCTGTCTAGGATGTGATATAGGCGTTTTTTTGTTGAGCCACATATATGCTTTTACCCACCTAATTAATGTGTATCTTAGTTAGCTCCTTTGAGCCTGTAATCCTATTTTCTTTGAAAACCACACTACAAGCCTGATCCTTTTTGTTTGATTGACCATTTGTTTGAACCTTTTACCTTTATTGAGTACTTGAATTTGTTATGAACTTGCTAAAAGCTAAGCGGAGGTATGGTTAGGTTTTGAATGGAACTGAGAAAAATTGTAACTTACTTGTAGGGAATTGAAAAGAAAAAAAGTGAGTTTGCTTGAAAAAAAATCAGAATTTAGGAAAAAGAAGAAGTTGTGCATGTATTAAAAGAGAGAAAAAATGATTCCAGACTAGTGGTAATTCTCATCTTGTTCGTGCTTAAAGATATGGGGAGCTTGATGCTATTATGTGTGAGATGTGAGATTTGGTTCAAAATAAGTGTGAGGTTTAGATTGTGAATTATATATATTAAAGTGCTTAGGGAGGTGTAGTCACTATATCCAAATGTATCCTACCCTTCCTGCAACATACATTACAACCAATTAAAGTCCTACTTGATTCTTGACAGAATGAGCTCAAATTCGCAGAGTATTACACTAAGGGCTAGCCTATGGTGCATCTTCTGTGGAATATGAATTTTATTTCTGAGAGTGAGCGAATCCTTTCTATTGTTGAGTTCTTAATTGTTCTTGAACTTGATTGTGCACGGAACTACTCTTTATTGTTTGTGTGAGGGCACATGACTTGTGAAGGAAAGATAAAGTCTTTGACATTTATGTTAGAGTAAGTGAGCAAGGTGTGAAAAATACATGGTGCTTGTGAGTTGAGTCTTGAGGCTAGGATGTTACGACATGATATTTAGTCTGTTTTAAATATTCTAGGCATGATGAGTTAGGGAGGTTGTTTGATGAGAAGGTCGTCTCTATGTGAAGTGTATTTTGGTTGCTCGTATTGCTCGAGGACGAGCAATGGTCTAAGTGTGAATGATTTTTGGATTGTAATGTTAGATTGATGTTTTCTCACTCTTTAATTATATTTGTGGTGACTTGCTCCATAATTATGGAGTAATTTACCTTAGGGTTTGACATGATTTGGTGAATTAGTTGTTGTTTATCGATTTGATTACTGCTTAATTGCCTGAATTTATTAGAGGAGCTTTAATATAGTTGTGATTTTATTCTTTATAGTATTTAATCTAATGAGGAACATCTTATTGAATATTATTGCAGCGTATGCCTTAGTTTATTTTGGTGATTCTTCGAAGTAATCAAGAGAGTTTTTAAAATTACGGTTTAAATTAAGATTGAGAAATATTCACGAGAAATTTCTCTAAGATCATTCCTACCAATAGATTCTTGAAAATCACTACACTTCACATTAGTTTATTTGAAAGATTTAGATTTAATCGAGAGAGGAGTCTGCATCGAAAGTATAAGCTAATCACCTATTGAATTCGTGAGAATCGATACAATCTCAAGAGTGAAATATAACAGTATCATATCCAGAATAACAACCTTGCACCTATCATATCAAAATCCTTATTTCTCACATTGCTAAGAACCCAACTCTGCTAATCTCTAGTTCTTTGCAGTCAATTATTAATTGCTTTACTTTAGTAGTTAAACGTAGTTCATAATCATTCAAAATTAAGTTTTGATCGTCCTGAATAGCGTTAAACCATAAATTACTAGAGCATTATTTAAGTTCAATCCATGTGGAGACGATAATTTAACTATACTATTTTTGGCTAGCGAGCATCAATTTCGTATTGTGTTTTGCGCTCGTCAGAAAATGAAAAAAGTAAGAAGAAAAATTAAGAAAGTGAGAGGGAAGGAGATGAGATAAGAGAAAAACAAGAGCATGTGAATGAGAGTATATGTTATTCTAACTCTAATCTTTCCAACTCTTCTTTCTTTAGTCGGTTGGATTATTTTATAGAAATTGTGAAGATGAGTCAATTGAGTATATAACACTGGAAGAACTTCATAACTTGGGAACAATATTTATGTTTGATCCCGCTGATTCACTCTATGATTATGGTTTGCGTTTGAGCCAAGTGCCTATTATTTTATTGGAAGAAGTATTCTTTATTGATCTTAAGGATGCTTGGTTATACTTCAAGAGTGTTCACTTTGATACATGTGGTAAAGATTTTAGAATTAAATTGGTGCATGACTCTTATTGGGAAGTGTCTTTACTATGCACAATTATTTGCAAGCATGAAATACTTGATGTTTTGTTTCTTGATGCTAAAAGGCCTTTATGAAAACTTGAGCTCGATTATTTTGACTCTTGGCATAAAGTTACTTGTGAGATTTATAACTCCATGTGGTGATGTTTTCTACATGATTTTTAGAGGAGTCCTAGGAATAATTGGCTCAAAAGAATACATGAGCACTTTCTTGTTTTATCATTATCATGCATATATTTGCCTCTTGATGAGTTTATACTTGTCCTCATTCATTTCCATATTTTACAAGGTTCGAATTCGGGGACGAATTCTTTTCAAGAAAGGGATGATGATACGACCCAAGATAGCCAACATGCTCTTTAGATGTCAATTGATGGCTACTTTCATAATTAGAGGCTATGTGTGTAATCTGTCATCAGTTGAAGACTGCATGTAATTGGAGGCTATACTTATAATAAGTGACTACACTTAGTCCCTTAAAATTAGCTTAAGGATTTGGGTCATTTGTAGTCAAATACCCACTCTAGTATAAATAACTTTTAAGACTTTCATTTTAGTGAGACTAATTTTGACGAATGATGAGTTTTTTTCTGAGAGGTATAATGGTAAATTGCTATTGTTATGATAACTCATTCAAGGTGTGTTCTTCAAGTGGAATCACAGTTTCACTTGAAGGTATTCCTATAGTTTAAGTTTAGATTCACTTTGTTATGTAATTGTTGGATGGTTGATCTTTATCAATTGTTATTCAATTACTATACTGTTGGGTCTATTCTCAAATTTTCCTTTACATTTAATTTCTTGTCTTCCGCTTTGACATTCGTATCAGATTGTCACTTGAAAATGAACAACCCAAATTTGTATACTAGAGTGTAGGACACTGTATAAAACCTTATCAAGAGAGATGCTGTGTAAAATTATAAAGTATGTGTTGCACTTGCTTCATCTTTGGAAGAGCATTAGAAAAGGCAACTTTAGTGTTTTTAAGCACTGTAGTTCTGGTTATGGAATATCGAGGACATTATAATACAAATTATCTGAAGTATATCCAAAAAGGACGGATGGTAAGAAAATGCAGATAGCACTAAATAAATACAAAAATATATTCAATATAATCACACAAGTGGAATCTAGGTAGCAGTGCCAAATAGCCCTAACCAGAGTAGTCAATGTTCCTACAGTTACCACCTGATTATAGTGAACAAGCATTTCTGTGAGATGATCCACTCCCAATGCTCCCCATGTCTACTCACCAAATCAACAAAAACCACATTCTAGAGAATAGAAGAAAAGCAAAGAGAGTGAAGGGGTTGCAAGAAACAACGAAACCATAAAATTCTGTATGAGAAGAGCGGGACATGGACGTGGATAGTGAGGAAAGGAGGGATTCAAAGCCATTCTTCATCCAATTCACTACTGTTGGCAGCGTCGTTCCAGTAGGCTTATCAACCAATTGGTGTAATAATGTAAAGGGACTGTTTGTAAATTGAAAACTCTAAGGCAGTGACCTGTAAATTTTATCAGCTGCTGGGTAGACATGTAAGGGTCCAAAAAATAAAAGATAGAATAAACATAGAGGAAGGAAGGCACCAGTGGAAGGGCTTTGACATTTTGCATTCCAACCTCCAACCTTCTTATCCTTTTTCCCAAATTACAGTAGGGAGGATAAAGGGAAAAAGAACGAACTACCATGGGGAGTTGAGAAAAAAGGAGCTTACACATTTTTCAATACAGTGTCGATCCCCAAAATGTTATCCACTGCTGTAGGACACAGATATGCAACTTACCACCAACTGAAAAAATCCTATAACTAATGAAGCGAAGCTTGTACAATTATCAGCCAATCAACAACGGCTAGTGTTTCCAGAGTTGGAAACTGTGCTACTTTTGAATGCAAAAGTTTGTTCAATTTAGGTAAATACAAGCTTACTTTTCCAACTTAGCTTATATCAGATAAACATAACTGTTCAATACCCTATCGTCATACACCATAAAGAACGAGGTATCAACATTTATATGTGCCCCCCACCACACCACCCCGCCCAAAATAGAGAAACAAAAAGGATATCAAGGCAAAGCATACAAACAATTCGTCTTTGAGGTCCTTCCATACCTTAGACGACCTAGAACAATAATAGTTCTGCCATCAAATAGTCTTTCAAGCACACCATGAATATATGGACACAGAAGTCAGAGTTGGATAACTGTTGATCTTAACTGTTAATTTGAAATCTTCACCTGTAAGCTTAGCCTAGAAGATACAAGCTAGCTATAAATTGAAGTGGAATTGCAAGCACAGGAGAAAGGAAGTCGAAAGGTACCATCTAACTATAGTCCAACATCCTACTCTAGAACAAATCAAAGACTAATTGTTCTATAGACCAAATAAAAGCTACTCATATTACTTATTATATACAGGGCAGCGGTGCCGCAAGCACATGAGAATGTCATAGTTGAGGAATTACATCGCAAGCACAGGAGAATGTTATAGTTGAGGAATTACACCAGACCCCTTTCAACTTCTATAAACAGTGAAACTCAACTTCTATAAACAGTGAAACTCAGACTCCTTTTACAAGACAAGTTTCCCGTGTTCACCAAGAACAAACGCCAAGGGTATTAAGATGGCCACAAAATGTGCCAGTTAGATTATAGACCAGTAGCTAACATACCACCGGAAGAGATGACAGGCTCCCAGGGCTTTGGTTCTGTCACGCCCCAAACCTGGGGAGGCACGACTAGCACCTGGTGCCTAATTTGACTGAACATACTAACCAGTAAATCATGTACCAAAACGTATATAGAAACATCCAGGCCGACAAGGCCGTAACATATGATATCAGCTCATAACCAACCGAAAATGATATGCATATAAGGGCCGACAAGGCCACTATATAAATTAGTACGACTAACATCAGGTGCATTTGCGTCTACAAAAGCCTCTAAAGAGTATCTGACATAAGTAACGTGGTCAAAACAAGGCCCCAACTGGATAATCAAATGTAAGTAACAACAATAACAACAACAACAACAACAAAAAACCGAGTGCAATCCCACACGTGGGGTCTGGGAAGGGTAATGTGTACGCAGACCTTAGGAAATTACTCTGGCAGCTAAATGAGAAAAAAGACCTACTATGGTGACGTGGGTGCATGATATATACATAAAGCAAAATGACAGTATTAGGAACCATAGCCCTCCAGTGGACAGCAGTTGGTACCGGAGAAAACTAAATGCACTTGAGGCTATAATGGAACAGTGGTAGCAGAATGACACATTCACATTTACACCTATTGGACAGTACTCAGTAACTAAAAGTTACAATGCACGGTTGTCTGGGCTTGAGAGATGTCAGGTTGCTGATCTAGTATGGAATAAGCAATGCAGCCAAACCACAGGTTCATAGTTTGGATGGCTAATCAAAAAAAAAAATTGCTTACAAAAGAGAGAATTCAAATATTGCACATATCACTGGCACACAATACATGCAGCTTTTGTGAAGGTGGAGCAGTAGAAACAATGCAGCACTTGTTTGTGAATTGTGAGTGTATAAGTGAGGTAAGGAATGAGCTAAGTAATGGGCAGGCAATCAACTGATGACCAGGGAAGTGACACAAAGCTTACAATGGTTGAAGAGCAGATAATGGAAGCAGATGAAGAAAGAAGTAGTGACAGCTATATGGGGGCAGTGATCTATAACACATGGCAGACAAGGAATTGGAAGATATTCAGAAACACGAAAGTAAATACAGAATTTGCTACTGCACAGATAAAAAAGGAGCTCAAACATAAGTTAAAGGATATACAAACATGTAGGAAAGCACATAAATGTAGGCAATTACTTCACAGGTTATGTAATTAGAGTTCCAATACTAGAGGGTAGTGAGTTGTAACTATCATATGTTATTTTTTTGTTCTGCTGTCTAGTTTACTAGAGGCCTCAACTGTAGTGTTTTGCGAACTGTAGTTATAGGTGCTTATGAGATGTATTAATTTGAGTTGTTAATGGTAATATTTCACATTTATTATCAAAAAAAAAAAAATACATCCAGCACCTCAAAAGCAACAAAGAACAACTCCAAAACGTCCTATAAAGAACCCTCTACTCAACTACAACGTTTGACCATTAACTTGTATCATCTAAGCACATCTAAAGCTCAAACTAAACAATACACATGAAGGAGAAGAAGATCTTACCTTAAACAACAAGATCCAGCCCTTAGACACCTTGCTTCAACCTACAGAAATCTCCAGCTCAATAACAACAAGCGAGAACTAAGCTTATACAAGTACTACAATCTTTCCGAAGGAAGAACTACCTCAAAACTTTGGTGGGATTTGCTTGAATGATACAGAAATGCTTTGGGAGCATTTAGGAAGCTTAAGGTTCTATTTTGGATGAAAAATGAGGAGAGGAAAAGGCTGCATCACTTTATAACATCAAAAATAATCTCCACCACCTATGTGGGTCCCAGTGGGCTGCCTGCGCAGCCCGGCTAAAACGTGCATACGATGAAAATTAGACTCGTAGACCTTCAACTTGGTGGGTGGATCAACCTCGTAACTCCAAGTATATTGGGAGAAAAGCTCGGTGATATCAAACCCAAATTTCAGTAAGCTTATCAACATAACTAGCGATAACTTTTGCCAACGTTATGCAACTTACTTGACTTCAACACTTAATATACGACTATTATACGATTCAAGTACCTCATAACACGATTTTCTTAAGGATGTTAAGCACTCCTAGTAAACCCCAAAAGTATGGGTTATAACATCTGCCCGTACCTCCAATGTACGATCTATAAGTTGGAAATTTTGCGAAAATTCACTCGCTTCGATTCCATTAACCTCTAACCCTTTTGACACTCACTAAACATAGTCATAATCACTTATAAGCTTAGGAATAGCCTATCTCTCCAAGTTTATGACGACTAACTCACGACGTAATGTATGAAAAATACGGGATGTAACGGGTTCACTGATAAAAGTAGTACAACGAAGGATGGGCAATGAGCATACATAACGCCAAGTATACAAGTAATGGATCCCGGGCCGAGAAATCCACGATGACTCGGGGACTGCCGTCAATGGCCATCTCCATCGACTTATCAAAGTCCGAGGTAGAAGAGCGGGCCCGTTGTTCTCAAGCTTGAAAAGAGAGAACATATTGCTCAGTTTTAGAAGAAAATAAAAACACAAGAAGTTGAAGGCTGAAAATTAAGTTGAATAAAATTGAAGTTTAGGCATCCAAGATGTTAATGGAGATTCTGGAAGACGTAGTGCACAAACTGACAAAAGAAGAGAAAAATAGGCGCCCAATAGAGTTGCACTATCAATCTGCAAAAAAGCACTTCGAAGTCCATAACATTACATTTTTATGCTGTCAAAGACCAACCAGCACAAATAAAAACTAGCATCAGACACGTTAATTAAACGCATTCAACTAACATGGGGAGGAAATCTTGACTGAGTCACTAAATTAGTGATATATCAGTAACAGTTGATATACTTGGGGGAATAATTCAACTATAGATAACATACACCAAAAAAGTTTCTGCATTATTTGAAATGATATATGGAGATGGTAGGTAACAAAATGGTGTACAAAAAAATTAAAAGAAAAAAGGAGAAGGCATCCAATTCTTCATCTAACTATTGAAGGCGCCTTATCATTCTCATCATCTAACTAGAAAGAGAATTGACTGCAGCACCTACCTAAAAAGTACTACTATATGGTAATGATTCAAATTACACTCCCCAGCAACCTAAACAATCAAATCCAGAATATTTCTAATGGTAATGCAAACTTAATTAACGCAGTCCAGAAGAGAGTCCTAAACTCATGAGCAATATCTCCAAAAACTATATCAGAACAAATATGAGGCCACTCAACTAAAATTTCTTTCAAATTTATGAGGAGAATAATCTGATATTCCTTAGGGGTCGTTTGGTACGAGGTATAAGGTGGGAGAAGGTGGGATAAAGTATAGGATTAAATTTATACTCTGTTTGGTTGGCGGTATAAATTTATCCCACTGTTTAGTTGGCGGTATAAATTTATCCCACTGTTTAGTTGATACCTCCAACCAAACAGAGTATAAATTTAATTTCAAACTTAATCCATGATATCCCATCTTATCCCACTTCATCCCATCAAATGTGGGATTATTTTATCCCATCTTTCGTGCGGTATAAATTAGTCCTGGGATTATAATCCCGGGATAATTTAATCCGCGTACCAAACGACCCCTTCGAGTTGCCTTACACACTTTGGTTTGCAAGTCTCTTCTAGTGTCTTTATACAGCATCTGCTAGAGGTCATACTTCCACAGAAGATGAATCAAAACACGTTGAAGAACCTAAGTTTGAGATTATTTTTTTAATTTCTTGAGGCATCAACTTTGTGAACAGACAAATTACCTTCAGATATAGAAGATGACCACCATTCTGCCTCTCTACCAAGTGGCCTAAAGGAGTGCAGTCGTTGGGAGATCGCCAATAAACATCTTGCTAATGGTTGACTGTGAAACTCCTCATTAAGGCTCAATAAAAAAAGCACGAAGCGACCTGGCATGCCTCCAAAGTAGTCCTAGAAAAAAAGTAAAAGGCTTATAAGAAGATACACAAGTTAACCAAAGCTTGGTAGTTCAATAAAAAATAGTAGAATAACATGCCGATTATCCACTGAGTTTCAAACGATGAGCCAACTGGCCCTTGGGGACTTCTCAGTTATCCAAAAAAGAAAGAAGCAAATACCTGCACAACAATAATGCATCAGTTGGAAGTATCTCGACCAAGTACTAGTTTACTGGTAAATCAAGTTCTGTCACTAAATAACACCAAATTGGTGAAACTATTACCAAAAATTTACCAATAAATCTAGCCATCTATTTATGCAAACATAGAATATGGAATTTCATCTTCGCACCAACAATTTCTTACTCTTTGGACCGAACTCTAAATTCTCTCAATAGTTGTACTCATGTTCCACTTTATACGCCATTACTACCTCCAGGGGATCAACAAAATTTTTGCTATGATTTTTCATTTACTTTTAAAATATTTTTACTTTAAAAATTGTAATGTTTGTATGTGATATGTAAAGATGAACTGTTCTAAAAATAAATCAATATCCGAATTAATATTGAAGACCCTTGATACTCCTCCATCTGCAAAAAAGTTATCTGACACGGGGGACTACTATTTTTTTCCACCACGACCCAAAAATAAATGCAAAAAAAGCCATGTCCGTAGCATCTAATCCGAGCTCATCCTCAGCTTTTGCGGATCTTCCCATCACTACTCGGGAAGTATCCATGGAATGTTAAATTGGAACATCAGGCCAACGCATAAGTCAACAGCATACACTGCTGTGGACCAGGATATGATCATCATTCAAGGGCCCTTTCACAAAGATAACACAAGCGAACTATAATCTGTCCTCTCCACTCCTCCTTATGTTGTCGGCTATGAAAACACCCAATTTAGTGGACGATGTGTACAAGGCCATTTTTTTAGCGCCTTTCACTTCAATAGTAGCTTTAAGATCACAGACCTACTAATTAGGTACACTTCCGGAACAAACAACTTATGGACGTCCAAAAGGCAAAAGAACAAAGTTCACCTAACAGCACGGATCGATCACATCCTAAGCTTAGAACGCTCCAGATATATTAAGCCATAAGGCATCAGGTGACATTCAAATTCATCGTTTAACTCATAACTGAGATTGTTTGAAACATGTATGTACATGAAAGGAATAATAAGCCAAATGTCACAATTTGAGCATGTCATTCTATAAGCCAAATGTCACAGTACAGCCCTTAACATAATATTTCCTTAGATATGTGTTGACCTTCCTGAGGAACCTGAGGAAATATGTCTCATGGCATTCAATGCTTTTGAATAGACATTCAAGACACCAAAAAATAAGCTCAAGTGACAACAAGTAACTCACCTTAAACTATTGTTTGAAACAGGAGTTTAGAGTACCTGCTGCCCCACGGTAAGTGGCACGATATTAAGAGGGCTTTTGAATCCATTCTTCTATCTCTGTTAAAATACTGTTTGAACAGGAACTCACATGAAAGGACTTATCAGCCAAACACTACCATCTGGCACAGCATTCTATATCAGTTTAATTACACCATTGCAAACTGAAATTGGATAATATCTGCAACAAAAATATTAAACCACACAAGCAATAGCAAAGAATATTATGTCGCAAGCAGGCAAGAAATTTTTAAAGATGATGAGAATATATAAGGGTTGCGGCAAATGCAAACACAAACCCCTTATTTAGTTGAATATTAAGTGAGACGTCTGATAATAATGGAAGATTTTTCAAATGCAAAGTTGGATCATCATTACATTTAGAGTAGACTTGGAAAAAAAAATACTATCCCTCTTCATTGCAAATACTACAATCCCTCCATTCTGAAAATTTGCACATGTCCGCAAGCAACCATAGAGACCAGACATGTCATCATTTCCAAATCTTGCCAATGATAAGAAGTTCGATCACCACAGCAAACAGGTATTTGCACGTAGTCTTCAGCATTCATGAAAACCTCACAAGCAAATAGCAAATAATGAAGAGTATTATGTTGATTCATAGACATCAATCGTGAAACAATTATCAAATGCAAAGGTGGATCATAAATAAATTGGAGTAGATGGAAGGAAAGAAGATTCCGGAGGTAGTCTGCACGCAATGAAACAGTTTACCCTTGCAAACTGATACCTAGATGTACATAAAACACAGCAGCGCTTCAGCCAAAACAAAAGAAAAACCAGCAACAAATAACAAACAATTGATGAGTATTATACTGCAGCTAGGGAAGGAGTATCAGCTATCTTTTGAGGATATATACTGGGTCATCAACTCTGTAGAAAACAAACCCTGACAAAACATATCCATACGCTGCCAGGCTAAACACCAAACCTCTATAAACATCGAGTTGGAAACCATCAATAACGAAACAATATTTTGTGTGAAGATGGATCGTCAAATAAATTGCAGCATATGTAAGAGACTGCACCTTAAATCACCAAAAACATTGGTGAATCCTTTCTCACTGAAGAAGCGGGATAATAAGTTCGTTACAGTCAAAGGCAGCTCCAGAAATCATTTCTATTGATTAAAAAAGAACAGATTGACTAATTGAACAATTGACACCTTCCCTCCTCCTTAATCCGGGCTTGGGACCGGCTGTTTAGACAGGCGGAGTTACAAGGGTCACCTAAACACAAAATGTAGCAGTAAGTAGACCTAAGCTACAAGAGAAAACACAAGGCCAAACTACTGTTGGTCAAGACAAGACATGATCATAGAACAAACAGAACAGTTCAATAAAATGCATCAACTCAAACGCGAACAACACACAAAGCCGAGGAACAGCCTGGAAATAAGTTTGGATTATATAAAAGGAAATAAATACTGGGAGGAACAGACTGAGCAGTGACCTCCTAGGTTAAAAGGGACAAATTGGCGGAATTGTTGAAGAGTGGATAGAAGTCAACGACTGTACTTAGGGATACAAACTGACACAGGATTGACGCTAGGATAAATTCACAATTCAATCACAAGACCAAAAGAATCGGAACCAATAAAATTTAGACTTGGAAATGACCTTCTAGGTAACATTCATAATTGAAAGAAATAAAGGACAAAATCACCAGTCAAATCGAGATTCAAAGCCATTGTGGTGGAAAAGGTTGTAAATACTATCTTGGAAATTCTCACAACTCAAAACCTTCCAGCATACTGAAGCAAATCTTCACAAAATGCCTACGAAAACAAAGATAGACCCACCACCCTAGAGATATCCCATATACCTAAGCAAACTCCCTCTAATGGATCTCCCTCACAAACTGAAACTTCCAAAAAAGATTACTTCCACATCGAAAAACCTCATTTAGAGCAAAAAAAATCAATCAGATTATCCCACATTAAAAACCCTTGTTTAAAGCAACAAAATCAATCCACAGCACCTTGCTTTAGCATATGCAGGAAACAAAAAAGAAATTATTTACTATTTTTTTCTTTAAAAAACAAGCAGGAAATAAAAAAGCAAATTGCAGGTACAAAATTCCCCCACTGTGAGATCCCTACCAACGAGAACATTGCATAATACCACGTCCAAGGTTCTCAAAAGAAGATGAAATGAAATCACATTTACATTCAACCACATCATTGGTATATCAAACTACAAAACCTATAAGCTGGGTGTCCGTTTTCTTTTTATCTATTTGGTGAAATAAGTTACAACTCGTACAAGGCTGATATCTTTCCTTGCAAACAGAGAAAATATGACAGGCTCCCTCGGACCAAAAAAGCTCAATTGACAGCACATGCACTTACACCTCATTGCATACCTGCACATGGTACTATGTCCTTCTCGGTTTCCATCCTTTTACCTTAAAGTAAAGGAGTGTTGTACAAGCAGAACTATGTGAGCAAAACGAACATCCAAACAGTGGTAGCGCAAACTGGCCCCCAGCCTAACCACGTAAAGCACTTAAAATTCCCTAAACAAGATATGGAGTTCACCTTGCTAACTCCCTGCCCGTCTAGGACCCGAACCATCATGCAACAATAGCAGATGTGATATGAAAGTTCCTCCGCAGAAATTCCAGCAGATACTGAAAAGCAGAGCCCCCTTGACTGCAATGGAACATTCACGGGGAAGAAAATATTGTTTCCCCATAGGACTTCAAGAGAACTAGACAACTGGGACCTGGCTAGTTAGAGCAGAACATGACTTCAGCTGACGAGATGTTAATTTGAAGATGCCTAGCAGCTAAAAGTAAAAATGTCATGGCACCAGCCCAGAACAGAACCTTACTTGATAGATGTTATTTCCTAGTCTTTTTGAAAGATTGCTTACGGGGTAACTGCATCGAGAGGAGGGATTGACCAGTATGTTCATTCCATGAAAAAGTTGCACTTGAAAACACATTGTTCACAATTTCATAACTATATATATAATATCCAGAAATCAGATTCTCTAATTCAGAAATATTGAAATACCTGTAAAAAGCAAGCATGGAATATATCCTGAAATCAATGTTTTGCGACCAGCTAAAACTTCCCACCAGAAACCCATATAGATCGTCACTGAAGCAATCTCCACCAGAAAATAACTCCAGCACAACATTTTTAAAAACTGTTACCCAAAAAAAGTAGAAAGCTACGAAGGAATTCCACCCACCTAAGCTCTTGACATACAGCATCTACCATGTACATACGACTATGCAGGTCCCAAATTTTCTGCTCCTTCATAAATAAGATAAAAGATATCAAGGAACATCGAAGAAACTACGAAGTGAGATCACCCAAGCAAACAACTTGTCCCTCTTTAAGTAGCCTAAGTTCCTTCACTTGCCAAATTAACCAATCCATTTGGGACCATATGAAAGTTACAACCAAAGACACCTCGCCTAATTGCATATTGAAACATACAGGATGGTTATGCAACTTCTACATATGAATTCATATGAAATTCACCACTAGTGATGTTTGTCCATGAGCCTGATAAAAAAGAGATCCACAACAAGAGTCATACCATCATATGCATCACTTCATAAACCAAATGCTCATTCTCAATATTCCTGTAATACTCCAGATGTCAGACAAGAAAATAACTGGTGAATGTGAATAAAAGAGAATAGAAACCACTGAAGACTAGCTGCAGCTTTGAAAAAATTATGTCACCCCAGCTTCACCTTCCCAAAATACAAGAGGTTATGTAATCAAAAACACCAGAACATTCTCATTCGCATATTATGAAAGACCTGCTTAAGACCTTGCACATGGTTACTCACCACCAAACACCTCTAACCATCAAGGGAGGGGGAGAAAGAAGGCAGAACTAAATGAAACTGCAAAGATCTTACACATGCTGACTCACCACCGACGACCGCTAACCATCAAGGGAGGGGGAGATAATTGAAACTGCATCACACCAAAAAATACCCAAAACAGGTTTTGGAAACAACTCCTCAGCACATGAATGCCAAAAATCATAGTATAACTCTCTTCACCAAAATCTTGTTTCCTACATCTGATGATGTAGCAACAGAGAATATCAAAGCCCAGTGGAATAGAGATCATAAATATATATAAGAGAAGATGATAAAATAGGAATAACTCCACTATAATCATGCCATATGAGAAGTGCACATGCCATACATGGAAGTGCAACAGGGGGAATGGAGCGATACACTATGAATAAAGGCAAAGACGGCAGCATTCTCAAAATGGTCGAGCTCGGTCAGGGATGTTGGATAATTCCTAGAACATCTCCTTTATTTTATTCAAGGTGCCTAATCAATCAACAATACAAGAAGTCCAAGAAACCAAAGGACAACAACATCAGAAATAAGAAATAAACTATAGCTGGTTTAAAACATGACTGACAACGAAGTGACCAAGCAATGAAGTTGTAACCAACAGCTCCAATATCACAATGCCTTGATACCTTGTACTGTGCACCCTCATAACTCAATCGACGGAGGAAGCAGCATCACCCTAGCGACACATATTAGATTACGCCTGTAGGAAGAAAATAATCCAAACTAGAATAGAATGCGAGAACACGAATAGCTAACCCAGAGCTGGAATTTGTAATGAAACCAAAAGCTAACTCAGCCATCTTGCTAGCTCACACCACATCTACAGAAAGCAAAGCATATTGTTGCATCGTTGCTCGAGATGGAAAATAACAATAGAGTAGAGTGAAAAGAAACTGAGCCTGGTGGCTCTACATATAAACCAGACACGTTCTTTTGAGGGATACCCCAGCCTTTGACAGTGATCCAAATTGACAGATTTGTGACCACATCTACAGAAAGCAGAGCAAATAGTGGCATGTTGCTCGAGTTGGAAAATAACAATAGAGTAAAGCGAGAAAAAACTGAGCCTGGTGGGTATACATAGAAACCAGCCACGTGCTTTTGAGGGATACCCCGAGCCTTTGACGGTGATCCAAATTGACACATCTGTGAAGTGAAATTTGGCTGATCATACTAGTTGTGAAGTGACAGTTGACTAAACATACATCCACAACGTAGCAAGAAAACAAAGAATAATGGCACAACGATTGCCTATTAGTCAATGCTGATTCAACCACGTTAAGCAAATTATTACAAGCTAATTTGGAAGTATTAAAAAGAAAGCTAACCAACTCTAAACTAAGATTTTGAAAAACTTGCCACCTTGCACAATGATCACATATGTGGTAGATTCACAAGGGTTCCAAAAGATATATACTCTTGTGAAGATCTATTACGAAGAACAAAATAATTACCTTATACGCATTTACAAAATTAAAATAAGAGAATTTTAGAATCAATGAATCAAGCTCTTTTTGTTCAAGAGGAAATGTTCTGTGGAGAAAAAATGTGAAGGAGATCTCTCTTACACAGAAAGTTTTACATAATAGCAAAAGAAGCAAGTCACCAAATGAGCGAATATTTTAAACATAACATGCATGCTTCAAAAGAGATCTCCAAACAAAGAGGCTTCATTTACCCAATAGCAAACAGTTTAAACGCAGATCCACAAATGAACTGATCAAAAACTATGAGCAGCAAAAGTCCTCTACTACCAGGTGAAGACATCAATTGATCAGAATCTGTTAGATTTGAAATGTCACTCTTTTTTTGTAAGGTAAAAAAATTTATTAACAAGGGGAAACCCTGCTTACCAGCCGTATGCTAAAATGTCTCTTCTAGTTAATATATTCTGACTGAGCTTCAGACTAGGAAAACAACAAGGTTCCCCTACAAGTGTTGCCAATTGCACAAACGCCTAGACAATGCTGGCACGAGCTTGATCAGACATAAGTACACACCATAGAATATAAGTAATTGATTATGGCTGCAGATATATCACTCAATATAAGAACCAAAAAACCAATATACCCGCCGCCATGCATGGAAACCACCACGGACATGTTAAAGTTCCTGCAAAAGGACCTACTAGAATGCACCACTATCAAGAGCCTAAGCTGAGAGAAGGGAAGCACTCTGATTAGGGAAGAAAATTTGAATTGAAAATCTTGATACCTAGATCTGCCTGAACTAAAGAAACCTTAAAGCAAATCAACAAACAAGAGCACTCCATGAGAAGAATTGACTGCTCTAAGGCCCAGAAGCTGCAAGCACAGAAGGAAGGGAACAGTTGAGTGCAAACTGATACCACCTAGGAAATTAACGAGACTTCAGAGATAAGATTGAAAAACCCCCTTTCCTCGAAGCCTCACAAAATACAGGGTGCAGAGAAAACACCATATTGGACACCACTTTGGATTTTCAAAATCTAATCCTCAATTACTGTCACCATCTGGTCTACACATCGTCCAACAGACGAAATAAAGATGGTGTGATGAACAAAAGAAAACGGAAGCAGAGAAGGTAAGTAGCAAGAACACCAAAAGTAGAGCACTTTATGCAGCTATCAAAAGATGGAAATTTGAGTACCCATCCGGCCATCCGTTAAGGAAATAAAATCTCATCAGCTGGACCATCACAGACATAAGCATCTGGAATAAAAATTAAAAATGAAAGCAGAATACATACACTTGTGAAAAGAATTAACTTAACTGGGAGCTTCCATATAATACAAGTTTTGAGAAAGCTGTGAGACGTGAATATCCAATACCTATAGTCCAAGACCTGAAAACTTGCTCTGCATCTTCCAAAAGAAAAACACCACGGCAAGGAGGCACTTATTTCTTCAGAACCACGGTTCAATCTTAGATACCTATTCCATGTATCCTTTGACAAGTAACACCAAATGAAATCCACTAATGATCGAAACGAATAAGCACTACAAGTGAAGGTAAAAGAAGTCGGTGCGAGAAAAAGATACTACTTGCATAAATACTAACATTACAATGAAAGTCAAGATCTCAAACCAAACTTATAGCTCCATCCACACTGATGTCATGGCCTACTTATGATATATATGGGTAGGATTGATGACGGACTTGTTAATACTAGTAAAGATACTGACTGATCAAAACCTATGATATCCAAAATCTCTCTTCTGCTGACCATTAACTTCAGATAAGGACAACAGCACGGCAGCCCTACAAATACTGCAAGTTGAATCTAGACACTGCTGGCAAGGCTTGATTACACCTTAAAATGGAAATAATCAATTGCGGCTGCAGATAAATCACCAAATAAAAGAACCAAAAGTTGAATGAAAATAATCAATACCCACCGCCATGCAATGGAATCACCACAGACATGTTAGATTTTCTGCAAAAGAACTAATAGAAGAGCTCTAAGAGCATAACTAATAGAAGAGCACCATCTCTAAGAGCATGTGGTGAGAGAAGGAAAGCACTTGGATTAGGGAAGAAAACTGAACAGAAAATTTCCATACTCAAAGCACCCTGAACTAAAGAAACCTTAACGCACACCACAAACAGGGGAGCGTCGTGAAAAGCAATTATCGCTGCTCTAAGACACGGCAACTGCAAGTATAGAAAGAAGAGTACAGTTAAGTGCATAGTTGGCTAAACCCAAGCCAACAAGGAAATAACTAGAGATGCCAGACAAGATTGAAAAACCCCCTTTTCTCGGAGCGTGACAACACCCAGGTCGGTCACAGAGCAAGCACCAAATACTGGACACCAACCTGTGAAATTTCCAAATCTAATACTCTTATTACTGTGACCATGTGATCTACTTACTGTCACCCTGTGGTCTACACATTCATCCAACAAACAAAATCATGCCGACGTGATAAAACATAAGAAAACGGAAATGGAGAAGATAAGTAAAGAGGACGCATAAAGTAGAGGAGCACTTCACAGGACTATCAAAGGATCCAGAATTGAGTTTGAGTACTCTTCAGGTGTCCATACCATAAGAGATCTCATCCATAAGCATCTCTGAAAACTAAAATGACAGCACAATATACTATACACACTTGTGAAAAGAATTATCTTAATTGAGAGCTTAAGAGCAGTTTCGACAAAACTAAGAGACACCAATATATCCGATACCTATGGTTGAAAACCTGAGAGCTTGCTCTACATCTTTCTGAACACAAACACCAAAGCAAGACACTTACACCTGTAGAACCACTTGCGCCCTTGGATCAAAACTTAGATACCCATCCATGCAGCCTTGAAAACTGACACAGCCTAGGAATGAAATCCACCGACGATCGGACCAAGTAAGCATTGAGACAGTCAAGGTAAAAGAAGTTGGTGCGAGAACAAGACAATATTTATTAGCATATAAGATGGAAGATATCAAATCCAAACCGATAGTTCCATGCTGGACTTGTTCCCTGCTTCTCACACAGGCTTAGATCACTGACTTGTTCATCTGAAGATCCAGTCCGCATGGGGAGCAAAGATAATGAGGTTTGAGGAGAGTGAAGCTCAATGTGTGGCAAAGCAGTGTGCACCAGCATCCCTTTCAAAATAGGAGGAGCTCGTGCAAATCAGAAAACACAGAATAATCCTTGCATCCATCATTACTACTGGGAAAAGAACTGGAACACAACTGCTAACATGCCCAGCATCCATACGGAACATAGTGGAATCTCACAACAAAACCCTCAGAAGTGGCCCAAAACCTGAAAACATGCTTGGTTCCCCCAAAAGTGCAATCTAGAATGCGTCACACCAGAGCAAGCCAGACTCATTTCTTAGCATTGACAGTTGAAGGACGCAAATCAGAAACCAATGGCACCAAAAAAAAGTCCTCAAAGGCTATCTGTAAAGGGGAATCCATGAGATACCATGACTATGAGAAGGATGAAGGTACTAGCTGCAATTCCCTGAGAAGAAATCACCCACCTTCCCGAAATAGAAAATACTCATCCAAGCCACCGAAACGTCCCTATCATTCTCCTATGATCATTACCCAGAACCTGATCAAACACTGGCAACATTGACATACAAACAACCATCTCTAATCAACAAAGAAGAAAAAGAAAACAATGCTAACTGCAAACTGAATCTGACACCAAAAAAAAAAAACTCAAAAAGAACTCCCAAACCCCAATCACCTGCTTGAATAAACGAACAAAGAAAAGCAAATCAGAAACCTACAGAAAATCAAAAAAAAAAAAAAAAACTGAAATATATAAACTACCAATCATAGGAAAGCAGCGACACCATGATAGAAGGTACTGGTAGTGAGTGAGTTATATAGTGACAGATAGACTACCCACAGCTGCAAGCACAGGAAAAAGGCAACAGTTAAGTGCAAAGTTGGCGAAACCCATACTAACTACAAAATTACTAGATATTCCAGAGATGACATTGGAAGTCCCCCTCTCTTTTCAAGGCCTGACAATAACCGGATTACAGTGCAAACACAAAATAGGACCAAGAAAAAATGTGACCAGGGTGCATACAACGACCTTTGGAATTTCACCATGTGGTCTCTACACATCCATCCGTCCATTGGATCATGGAAGATCCGAGCATCTGGACTCAAAACTAATGGCAGCAGAATATACTATACACACTGGCAAAAAGAATTATTGTAGCTGAGAACTTCCATTTAGCAGAAATCTTGACAAAGCTCGAAGACACAAAATATCCAATACCTATAGCCAAAGGGGGAACCTGCTATGCATCTTCCCCACACAAACACCAAAGTAAGACACTTATGCCTGTAGAGACAACGGATTAAATTTTAGATAACCCATCTATGTATCCTTGACACTGACATCACACCTGTTACGGAATCCACTGATGACCAGACCAAAAAGGCATTGAAGTAGTCAAGGTAAAAGAAGTTGATGCGAGGAATAAAAGGATATTGGCATCAAAATATAAGATGAAAGTCGAGATATGCAGTAGTCTCCACGCTGTGGTTGTCCCCTACTTCTAACACAGCACTAGAATAGGTCACGGAATCATTATCTGAAATTGCAAGCCAGCAGGGGGAGCGAAATTGCTCTGAGAATTCAGGGGATTGATAGCTCAGATAGTGTGGCAAATCAGTGTACACCAGCACACCTTTCAAAATAGGAGGAGGAGCTCAGGTAAATCAGAAACACAAACTTACAACTCCAAATACCATCAATGGAAAAAAAACAGAGTACTTAATTGCATAGAGGAATCTCACAGCAACCTCAGAATCGCCCAAAACCTGAATGCATGTTGATTCCCCAAAAATTGCATCTAGAATGGATCTCACCAACACACAGTTGAAGGATTGCAAAATCCGAAAAACCAGAAGCAATAGCATGATAGGAATAGCAGGTTTAATAGAAATTGACATAAATAAAATGAAGGCGAAACTTCTTATCTGCTGTCAATGTTGTCAACATAAATGTTGAATATTGGAAACAAAAGAAATTTCAATCGAAACAATTAAATATTTTTTTTAAAGGACTCGTGAAAATACAGGGCAGGGAAGAAAATAAGAACATGGAGAAACCAAGAGGTTACAATCCTCAAAGGCATGCTATTTATTAAAGTAGTTAGTGGGTGAGATACCATGGCTATGATTAGGATGAAGGTACTAACTGCAATTCCATGTGAAGAAATCACCCACCGGAAGCCACTATAAGCCCCTAATCATTCTCCTACAATCATCACTCAGACCTGATCAAACAATGGAAACGTCTGACCTACAAACAATCAACAAAGAAGAAAAAACAGACCTAATTGCAAACCGAACCTCACACCAGAAAAAGAAACTCCAAAGAGCACCAAGCCTACATTCCATATCACATATTCCAAATAAATTATCAATTGAAGGAAAGAAAGCAGCGATACGAAGCCAGAAAGTACTGGAAGCGATTGAGACTTATATAACAGAAGAAGATAGAGGAGAAATCAAAACGAAAACAGATCGCTACCGGACAAACTGAGACTTCAGAAAAGAAGGCATCACCTAATCTTCACAAAATACTACAAACGAGAATCATGTAAATAAATCCCAAAAGCCGACATATCAACAAACGATCTCTGCAGCCTCAAAGGAGAGAAACACCAATTCTAATTACGAAACTGAATCTCAAATCAAAAAACCTCAAACGGATAATCTCTGGGCCGAACTCAAATTCTCAACAGCGACGATCAAAGGATTCAAAACCACAAACCTAGCAGGGAAATCACAAGGAAAACAAACCGGGATTGAGGAATTATATCTCTGGAGAGTATTTATAGAGTTATGAGGTTGGATGGACGGCTGAGATTAAGCGATGAAGATAACGCGTTGCGTTCGGGCTACGAGCGGATGTATTTGGACCAAAGAATATTTCAAAGGCGGTGGCGTTAGGTCGGCTTCTTTGAGTGGTATTAAATTTTGCAATATTTCCCATTAAATAACGTGATCCAAAAATAATATAATACTTGTAATAACTTTCTATAACAAAATTTAGTAACCACAATAATTTCTGTTTTCTAAGACACAACACAATTAACTCAATGTTATAAAACAAAAACGGTAAAGTAAAGACAAGTATAGAGAGAAACTGATATATTATTCGAACTCAAACTAATGTACATAATGAACTGAAATCTATTCTATTTATAGAAGAAAGGAAGCTGCTCTGTAAGTTGCTACTACAAGCTGCCACTACAAACTGCAGTGTAAGCTACTATAAGTTGTTGTGTAAGCTGCTACTACAAGCTGTTGTGTAAGCTGCTACTGTACCAGATATGGATAATCTTCTACTGAGAGCAATATTTATCTATAACGGAGTACTGAATGGATAAGCTTATTATATCCGGTATGGATAATCTTCTACCAGGGGTAATGTTTATCTATAATCGGGTACTGAAAAGATAAGCTTATTATACCCGATATGGATAATCTTCTACCGGGGGTAATGTTTATCCATAACTGGGTACTGAAAAGATAAGCTTATTATACCCGGTATGGATAAACTTCTACTGGGGGTAATGTTTATCCATAACCGGGTACCGAAGTGATAAGCTTCTTCAGGAAGCTTATTTCCAATATAGTACTAAATAGATAAACATATTTACGGTGGAGTC